GTTGTTAAATATAATTGTTATGTCTCATAGGATTTGGAATATCAACAAGAATGGGTTAAAGTATACATATGCGGGAATCCAATTCATCCAGATAGTATCAAACATATTATTTATTGTCAATCCGATGAAGCTACAATAAGTTGTTGTCAAGACCACAAGCAATCTCTTGTCATCAAACATATAAGAGATGAATGGAATCCATATGTATTTCACATTCGACATGTATTAATCATAGTTCCATATAAATTACTCTATTTATGTTTAGAATTTTAGACTGTTTAACGTATATTGAAAATATTATAATAGGGAGTACGATGTTTTCATTACAATGCAACACTTAAATTATTGGTGACTGGATGTTCGCATATAGTTTATTTATGGAATCCAGTAGTAACAAAATTATATCTTGCTAAACTAGAAGGCCATAAGAATGTAGTTGTAGATGTCAGAATTTTCGAACATTTTAATCTTGTGATTAGTATTTCAAAGGATGAAGTAATATTTACAATAAACAAAAATATTCAAATTTAATTAAAAATATATTTTTGGTTTCAAAATAGGTACTKAAGGTATGGAGTTTAAATACCTATGTTTGTTTACAAACAATTCAATTTGATTTTCCAGTGTATAATGTACTCGGAAAATCTGTCGAATTTAGTAGTACTCGAACATTTTATCCAGGACCAATCATTAAACAACCACCAGAAGAACAAGCATCATTAAAATCCATTGACGCAAGTAACATAACTAGCGTGCAAACAAGTGTTTATATGCCTAAGTTAATAATTTAAAATACATACATGAATAATATAATTAATACTCAATAATTTATAATAAACCAAATGTTTTTTTAGGGAAAACTGGCAATCTGAAGTATTGATAATTGCTTGCTCTAACTATTTATCGACGTTAAAACAAAATTTAAAGGATTACTCCCAAAATCATTCTCCTCTTCCTCCACCGATAGAAGACAAAAAACCAGCACTTCCGTCAGAATGGAGTTTTAGCGATACCGATCAGATTATCACTGACGAAATTGATAGCACATTAGTAGAATCACCGAAAACAGAAAATAATAAATTAAAAAAATTACTTATTAAATCAAGACCTTCATTAGACCATGAAGCTTTTAACTTGGATACACATAAAAAACCGATAAATCCTAAAATTAAGAAGCATGTAGATGAAATGGTAAAACATGGAACACCTTATTTAGCAATGCATTTATGTCCCGTATATAAATTAGAATTGTCTAAGAATTTGGTGTTGAGTGWTGCAACAAAATCAAGATTCCCGTTTATGGAAAAAATTGATGAAATATTTAGTGATGGAATCGCATATGATGAAAAAGTGAAATCGCCAGTGAAGGAACAAAATAAAGGAAAACCGATTAACATAAAAAATTTGATGGAAGTTATAAATAAATTAGAATTAGATGAAGATGATGATATTGAAAAAATTATAAACGAATTTATTTAATAGTATCCATCTCTCATCGGTCAGTTTGTTCATCAGGCTCTGCACTGATCAGTCAGTTAAGCCACGTTTTATTTTATTATTATTTTTTTGTTTCCCATTATATTACATTTGGGTAAATTCGTGGTGTAAATCAGTTAAAAATTAGTGAATTATAAATTATAATTAACCTATATTTTAT